TTATTTATTTTATTTTAATTCCTAATAGGATGAATGCATTAGATAGACAAAAGCGAACTCTTGATAAAATATATGCGGCTGGGTTATGAGCAATTCACTGATACTTTCAGAATTAACCATCCTTTGTTATTCTCATAATTTTGTTCATCCCTACTTTATTGTTTTTTACAATTAACAGTTTTCATATTCACTCTGTTTGTAATATATATTGATTTTTTTGATTTTGGAAGTTTTTATTCTTTTTCGTACTCTTTATCAGAATTTCCCATTTTTTTTATATGGTGCTACTGGGTTGGCGAAATACAACTCAAAAAAATAAGTAAAATAAAATAAAAAGGAATCGATATTCTTGATTCATGCAAGCACTTCAAAAATTGATTTTATGATTCCTTCATAAATTCATGTTTTACTTAACCTAAAAATTAGGGTTTACAATGGATCATATTTGTTTGGGCCCGAATCCGTTATATCATGAGCCAAAATAATACAATTCATTAAAAAGTTAGCACATCTTAAACTCAGTTCATTCTCCGACGGCATCTTGATGCTGTAGAAGAATGAAATGAGTTCGAAATGATAGACTATTACTGTATTAATGTATAATCTATTCAAAAATCAAATAAAAAAAAATTGAAAATTCTATTTACACGGTTCCGAGTCCACATAAAGACTCGACTTCATGTGACGGTTCGGGTACGGCTCCTAATAAACCGTCCGGAACCGGTCCGTGCGGAACACTAGTTACCAACATAATTAATTTTATACAATATGAACCGGTTTCTTATTATAATTTTGACAGTATAAAAAATTAGAATACTATCATTATGCATTTAACATAATTTAACACTACGTAATATAAAATTACTCTAATTTTAAGTTCATTTCCGGTTTTATGTAACATATTGATATAAAAATTACATAAATTTTACTTTATCGATACATATTCATAAACCAGGAATGAATAAACCTGTTTGGCATTAATATAAAAAGTACTGCGTATAATTAATCACATGTAATTTTAGCATTCATAAACCATGACTCAGTTGTAACTTGTTATTTAACAATAACCACTATATATTTCAAGATTATTAATCTAAAAACTTGTTTTAACGCGTGTAAGGGTGGGACAATATTTATAGTTCTACATACTTTTTTACTACATTAATGTGCTGCAAGATATCATCTAAAGCGAATGCTTCCAAGAAATCATGGTAAATCAAGTGGAAAACCTAAATGTCTGGTATGTGGTCGCCATTTTGCAGATTTGCGAAGACATGTCTCAAGGATACATAGAACTACAATATCGTGACGACAACGAAGTATTACAATACAACGACTAAATGAAAACCCTAATTCGCATCAAGAAACACCTAATCCTCGTAACAACAAAAATCACAAACATGTTTCAGCATTAGCTAGGGAAGAAAATCCTACTAATTCTACTATTTTTTTCATCAAGAATCTCCTAATTCGCGTCAAATCCTCATAGCGATGGAAATCTTGAACATGTCTCAGCATTAACAAGGGGAGGTAGTCAACAAGAAAATCCTACTGATTCTCTGGATCAAGAATTTTCTCAAGAAACACCTACTCCAAATATTATTTTTAACCATTCAACGTTTAATAACTGCACTTTTAACTATTATTATTAATATCTGTTCCAATTTGGAAAAGGTGTTTCTAATTGACAATCTTGAATAAAACGGTCGATAATTTCATTTCCTGTCTATTTACTAATTTACTTTTAAGTGCCTTTCTCATGCAATTTTCGCAATATATATTTGAATATTTAATTGAATTACATTCTAAACATTCTATTGGTTCTCCAATTTTATCTCTCTCCTTTTGACTCTCAAAAAACTCAATTGACCTGTTGTAAGTTTATCTTCCAAATTCATTTAATTAATCAATTAATCTTACTATATAATCGAAAGATATGAGTACACAAGTCATTCACCAATGATCCATACAAATGTGCATTATCGCGCAGCATTTTGAGGCTTAGCACACGTATTAGAACGCGTTTATATTTTCAGTTTGCCTTGTCCTTTTATGCAGTCCTAATTAAGTATGATTATAAAATTTCAATAAGGTCTGAAAGTAAATTTCGATCCGAATTTATATATTGTACAATAAATTCGGTTCTCAATTGTGAAACCACTTTAAAATGTAACATTAATATTAAATTGTATCGATATATATATATTTAAAATAGAATAGTAAATTTCAATTTACAAAACATTTGTTAAGATACTTTAAATTATTAAATAAAAATCAATTAAATATATTATAATTAAATATATTATAATTTATTGCATTTGTTTTCCACTTAACCCGCAGATATACTCTCGGGACTTGCAGAACCCTAATTGGCGTTCTCAGCAAAAATTTTTAAAATAATAATTACATTAAAGTGAATATATATATATAAGTAGCGAAAACAACTCGGTTCACTCAAAAATTGTTTAAACATCCCCATTTAAACATCCCCAAAATTTCGTGAATCACATAAATAACTATACACATAAAAATAATCAAATAATTCATTATAAATCAAAACAATTTATTTGTAAAAAGCGATGAGTTCTACACGTGTCTCAAAAAAGAGGAACTTACAATCTTCAATAGTTTATTCAAAAAGAAGACGCATAGCTGATTTGTACATACCCAAGCTACCTGCCTATAATTCGGGATCTATGAAATTATATGTTATGGGTAGCAATGATTGTGGTCAACTTGGTTTAGAGAATGTAGATGAAGTGAAATTTCCTAAGCATGTAGAAAATATGGATAAATTCAGAATAGTTTATATAAGTGTTGGAAGCCTTCATGCTGCTGCTTTAACGCAGGATGGAAAAGTAAATAATATATTTCTTTTATTTAAATTAAATCTTTAAAATGATCTGAATATTTTTTCTTTAGGTTGTTACTTGGGGTTGTAATGATCATGGTACACATTATCACTATCAGAAACAATTTAATTATTTGACGATGCTTATTTATATAAATGATATCTAATAAAATAATTTATGTTATTATTAGGCGCTTTAGGTAGAATTACAGAAAGTGAGGATGATGAAAGAGAACCTTCCTACACTCAAGGTATTGATAATGTAACTATTGTAAAAGTTGCATGTGGCGGAAACATAACATTAGCTTTATCAAGAGATGGTCAGTTATACATTAGTGGTACATTTAAGGTATAAAAAGATATTGATTTATTATAATAATTTTTGAATAGCAATTATCTAACAAAACATTTTGTTTATTATAAGGATGAGAATGGGGTACTAGGATTTTTCACAAAGAATAAAGACAAACTTGAACAAGAAATTTTTATAAAATACGATACCGATACTAAATCCAAAATTGCAGATATAGCTGCGGGTGAAAATCACGCATTGTTATTGACTACTGAAGGTTTTTTATACACATTTGGAAGTGGAGATGCTTGTCAACTTGGGAGGAGGATTTTGAAGCATCATAAGAAGAATGGATTGAACCCTGAGATTATGTCTATTAAGAGAATTAAAAAGATTTTTGCTGGAGCATTCATAATTTTGCAGTTGATGATGATGATATTATTTATGCGTGGAGACTAAATAACTATGGTCAGTGTGGTATTGACTCATCAGATTCTTTTGTTTTGAACCCTACGAAAGTAGAATTCTTTCAGAATTTTCCCATAGTAAAACAAATCGCTGCAGGAATGCACCACTCATTAGTATTGCTAGAAGATGGCAATATATACAGTTTCGGCCGTGCTGATTATGGGCAACTAGGTATCGGTGAGTTATCAACTAATAGAGTATCTATGCCTACTCAAGTTATAAAGCTAGTTAATTGTCAGAAAATCGCAGTTGGTGATCATCATTCTTTGGCAGTCAATGATAAAGTTTATACATGGGGCTTTGGCGAAACCTTTGCTTTGGGAGACAAAAGTGGAGAAGATAAAAAATTACCATTTGAAATTAATTGCACAGAGATTGGAAATAAAATTTTATCAATTGGTGGAGGTTCCCAATACTCTATTATATTGTCTCAATTTACAAATTAATTTGTCCCATTTGAATAATTTTTTATTTAATTTAAAAATTGCATTTCTTTAATAAAAAAATTATATATGTTTTTTGAAATAAAACTTTTTGTAAAAAGAATTAAATATTTCTCAAAATATAAAAGTATAGTTAAAAGTGTAGTTTTATCATATTGGATATATAATTATAAATCCAAATTTGTATCAGCCTAATTTAAAAATCTTTTTTTTTTTGGTAATAAAGAAGTAAAAAAATTTTGCAAATATTAATGGTTTAATATTGATAAAAGTTGAATAAATAAATAAAATGACTAAACAAATGACTTAAAAAACTAGTGTTCAATATTAAAAAGCCCGAGAGAAAGAATTGCTATGAAAATTTCAACAGCAATTCTGACGAAAAAATCTCATGAACTTATCAAAGGCCATCAGCCCTGTCATATCGAACCAAAGAATTCACGTGATAGGAGCTTCGTTATTAGACCAGTCTTGAGCTGTAAATTTTGAATAATTAATATCTCAATTGTTTTTCATTAGATCACGAGAATTCTTTAATTCGAAATGACAGAAATTGATGACATATAACGAGTTCATGAGATTTTTTTGTTAGTCAGAATTGCTGGTGAAATTTCCATAGCAATTCTCTCTCAGGCTTTTCAAATTAAGCACTAGTTTTTAAGCCAATTATTTAGACAAATTGATTTTACAAAAAAAACAAATAAGTATTTTGTATTTAAATTTTGGCGAGTGTTGCCTCTCAAACTATTCAAGATTAAATCGATTCTTTTCATCTTCCTTCTGCTATTAAGGCAAAAAATTTAAAAAGGAATAATTATTGTTCGTATTTATGAAAACCTTCTTAATAATCTCCAAACTTCTTCCTTAAATGCCATGTTTCTAAATTTCTATATCTTTCTGTAAAGCACGAATACTTTCATATATATCTTTGTGTTGGTGGGATAAATAATCTTTTAAAAGGCGATTATCTTTATTTAGGGATTCGATTCCTTTTTGTAGGTTTTCTAAAAATTCATCCTCATCATCTGTGTTTACAACTTCATAATTTGAAACTAATGAATCTTTTTTATTTATATCAATACTTTTTATATCATTCAATTCAACAACTAATTCTGATTTTTCGGTATTAATAGTTTCAGAAACAGTTTGATATTCCAGACTTTGTACTTGTTCTTCGTTATCAGAATTGATCTCTCGCAGCATACTATTTAATAGACTGGATGTATCATTCATTTTTTGTTTGTAAGGATTGAATAGAGAGGGTTTTTGAATCGAAAGATAATAGTAAAATTTTATTCAATGGGACATTATGAAATGTGTTACCAAAATAATTTATTGAATCTATTCTTCTCGTCAAAGTGGGCCTGAGAATATTACAATAAGCATTCATCTTAGAATAAATTTTCAGAAATTTAGGAATATCGCTAATCTGGTTTCTATGTTCATATAATTTTAGGATAAAGAATAAATTAAAATATGATTCAGTGGTGAAGATTAGGAGTTGGTATTTATTTGATACTTTAATGTTAAAAGTATTGTCATGGGTTTCTTTTGATATTTTTTGTTTTATAAATTGTTTAGTATTATTTTGATAGACTATGCCAAGCTGATATAAGTAGCGTTTTAATCCAGTAAAAAAGGAAGCAATGATTTCCTCAGTGAAAAAGAGCTGAAATGACCGTACTAAAGTTGGCTTTGATAACTATTCTATAATTTTTTTACTGCTCGCAAGATTATCATTTTAGTTGAAAGAATTAAAATGCATTGTATTCTTATTACCCAAATAAGTTTCTTCATCGGTGAATGGTCTGCTTTTGTTTATTTCTCCATTATTAGAATTAATAAATTTAGGTTCATAGATAGCTATCGTAAATAATATAGAAAATCTGACAGCAAGACTGGGAAACAACAAAAATGGAAATGGAATCAAATTATTCAATAATAAAATTGAAGATGCGAAAATCAAAGAAGCAAAGATTAAAAATAAAAGTCAGGAAAATTGTATATGCAATTTTCAGCAAAGGAAAAAGAAAATAAAAAAGAATAGCAGTTGCTGTATAGACAATTCTTAGCAATAATGCTAAGAGCTTTAAACTGTTTTTACTTGACATTTTGTAATTATAATTTCTGAAAACTAAATATTTTACATGATTCTTTTTTCGTAAATGAACTTGTTCAAATAAGGGAAATAATTAAAACAA